CAGGGAATCAAGAACTGAGGAGAAGGGAGAGATGAAGTGGGGAAAGAGAGACTGAAAAATAATAAGTAAAAATAAAAATTTTAATGGAAAATTCAGAGGGATAGGAAAGGAGATGTATAATTGTTTTAAAAGATAGGGATGAGGGATACAATCCCATCTTTTAAAGAAGCTGTTTTTCAGAGACTGTAAAGTTGGAATGGGAAAAAAACGCAAATTAAAGATGGTAAAAGGAAAAAACTCCTCATATTATTTCATTACATAAGAAAAAATGTAGATAAATATTTACTCTAAGAGTCTACCCCACAGAGTATACAAGAGGTGTCCTCTGAGAGCCTTACATATTTCAACATGGCGTTTGAGCTTTTGTTCCTTTTCACTAAGACAGATTTTAAATGGTCAGTATCTTTTTAGCAACCACAGAATTTGCTCAAGGTGATTTTTTTATCTGCAATGAATAAGGGAAAACCTAATCTGTTTGATGTTGCTTAGGATTGAATTGAAATGATTGTTGTTGATACAATAATTAACTGGAGGGGAAGTGGTTATGGTCATCGAGGTTTCTGGTTTGGCCCCACCACTGGGAATTCTTAAAGATCACATGCCTGTCTTGTTAAGGACTGTCTAGGCAATAAAATTTAGGAATTGTGGACTAGGGTTACCTATTCACAATAATCAGAGATGTTATTTATTTTAACCAGTTTGATTGCAGAAGAGCAAAAACAACAAAAAAGTCACAAGTTTGATTCAGAAAAAAGGAATGTTCTCTTTATTTAGAAGTTCCAGTTTATATAATCCCTGATCTCCTTGAGGAACCGGGGGTTATTAAAATATTGAAAACCAGTTCATCTTGTCCTACAGAGTTGATTCAATAGCATAACGACAAAGGTTATAACAATAATTCATTCAGAGATGGTTTACATGCTAGTAACTAATTCTTACACACATCACTGAAAATGGAGACTGCATTTTACAAAGAAATAAACTAAATCATATCAAATTACTGAAGAGTTATAGGCCAAAAATAGGATTATAGCTGGGTTACTTAATTCTATTTGACTTGCAGTGACATTTCCTTTCCAAGATTCAGTCCTGAATCCTCAGCCCTCTGCATACATTCAGATGGGTGACATCCAACCACATATTTGCAGTCCTGACCTTCTGTTTGAGCTTGAGTCCTGATCTGTAACTTTCTGCTGGGTATCTCTAATTTTTAAAATCAACCCCCATGTCAGATCCCACTTTGGACTTCCTCATTTATTCCAGCCATCTGAGTCTCTCTGGACAGCCTAAAATCTTGGAATCATGCCAGATTCCTCTTTCTGGTCTATTCACCTCTCCCTTCTTAATCTAATCAGTCGTAAATTCTTGCCAGATCATTCCTTTTCATCCCCCGTTGCCTTATTTCTAATCCAGACGTTTATCTTTCTCATACCTACACTATCACACCAGCCTCCTAACTAGACGGCTCCAGCCAGTCTTGGGCTCCTTCACGCCAGATTCATCTTTGAGCTTTGCACGTCCGTTTCTTTCCAGAAGCATGCCCTGCCATGCCTGTCCATTTTGGCATCATGTCTGTGCTCATCTCTACCCCATCTCTTTTCTTTAAGGGTCATTTTGTTCATGTATACTTCTTTGATGGGACCTCCCTGACAACCCCCATTCTCTGTAAAAACTCCCCTATGTCACTGTCTGAGTTCTTTGCCATTAAGGAAGTATATAGGAGACCACATTGTTATTTACAATTTATGATGGGGCCACTTCCAGTGAATTTAGCAAGCGTTTTTCTGCACCTCGATTTTCTCACTTAGTATATCCTGGACATCTTTCCTTATCTGCACATATATGTTTATCTAATGCCGTTTCAGTGCCTGCTGAATATGGAGGTACCGTAATTCATTTAGTCAGTCCCTTACTGATGGACACTGGTGGTTTTTCCAGTTTTGTTATTATCAGACACGCTGCAATGAACATCCTTGCATATCTTGAGGAACTTTAATATCCATAGGTAAAATTATAGCACTGGAATGGCTGGATTAAAAGTATATATTTTTTAAATTTGGATAGACATGACTAATTATCTTTTGAAATAATTTTCACTCTCTGCTCCTTCTTTTGATATCACTAATTTTCCAGCCACCCAGGAATTAGACATTGACAGTGGGAGGTTTGTTTATGGGGCGGCTCAGCCCCACAGACTATGAGTTCTGGAGAAAAAGTAAAGCCAGGAGAGAAGGTGTTGAAGGCCAGAAAACAGACTCTTCAGTGGCTAGTGTATAGTTCCACAGACTGGAGTAGCCTGGCATCCAGGACAGCAGGTTGCATCATGTTTCTTTGCCAATGATCAACTGAAGCCAAATGAAATCTAAATGTACCCATCTATAAAATAGGGATGATCTTTATATTTATCTTATTTTTATAGATGTGGATATAAAGGAAACGAAATTTCATTGTCTTAACCATTAGAAATTGGCCGAAGGGATGGTGCTACGTAAATTGTATGAACTCAGAACAGCTGAGTTCGAACTGGATCAAGACAAACAAGCCTGTAGAGCAGTGACTTTCCTTTCTGTCACTTAAACTGCTTTTGTGTGACCAAATGTTTCCTGTGCCAACCAGTGGGAGAGAAGTGAGCTTGTCTCTTAATTGCTTTAGAGTTTTGTTTGTCTATTTAGCATCCCTTTTTGAAGTCTCAAGATTTATGGAACAATAAATGCCATTTACCGCTGTGTGCTTATTTTGGATTTCTCATCAGTGTTAGAAGTTGGGTAAAAAATATTTATCTGAAAGCTTATCAAATTTGAAATGACACCAAGAAGTATTGTGCAGTTGTTCACCCCAGTGAAACAAATCATGGCAACAGCAGAGTGCGTTACTTTTTTTTTTAATAGTAAGAAGCAGACATTTTTCTACAATACACATTTTCTATTGTTTGGGGGGAAAAAGGCCAGGAGGGAAGGTTTAAACAAGAATGGTTTGGCTGGGTTGCTGAAAGATGTTCTTAGAATACCACAATATAAGTTTAGGCCATGCAAGTGGCCCAGGGCAGAACAGTTCAAGAAAAAGCACATTCACTCAGCAGTGTGGGAGATTAATTTTAGACAGTCCTCATCTTTTTCACAGTGTTCAGAAATCCAAATTTAAGATTACCCACCAGGACGGCACATCTCACAGGGAACTGGAGAAGCTTACCTCTTGATGAATGGAGTGGGGCAGAACATGGGACCAGGAGGTGTGGGCTTCTCCTCGCTAAAGGTGTAAAAGAGGAAAACCTAGAAGGATGCAGTGAGTGAATTCGTCTTGGATGACTTCCTTCCCCACCTCCTGCTCCCTCTTCCCCACCTCCTATCCAGGAGCGATGAGCTCGCCAGAGTTTCTGGTGGTTTAAAGTTTCTGCTCCAAGTGCAAATACAACCCCTCCCCGGACAAGGGAGGTCTAGTCCCCGCCATGAAGCTGTTCCAAGCCTGGCCCTCGATCCTCACTCTCCAGGACCACCCTCCTCCACCTTCGAGATGGACCGCAGATGCCCCGACGGCCTGGGGATCCGAAGGCCCCCATCCTCCCGCGGCAGCTGCTACCCAAACCGCACTGCACCAGCTCCGTGCCGTAGTAAATCTCAATTCACTTGACTCTCTGACGGGTCTGTGAATCCAGGGGGGCAGACGGACGTTGTTCCCAACCCTCTGAAAGCCCCGGCCTCCCGCTGTGGCCTGCACAAGGTGGGGAAGTCATTTCCCTCAGCCGCAGGATTAAGCGAATTCACACCAAGAGGTGAATGACTGAGCTCCGGGCCCTTCCTCGGGTGTTTTACTTTAAAAGAAGCTGCTTAGTAACCCGGAAGAATCTGAATAGGGACAGTGGTGTAGACCTGGCTGGAGAGGAGTTTGGGGACTGGGAGGGACACTGAATGCTCTGTGTCCAGGCCCTGCCAGTCCTGCTGCTCCTGGCACCGTCCTGCCCGGAGCCGGAGGTCTGGCCCCTCCTGGGTGTTGACCACTATGTAGCAGCTGCTGAATAAAGAAATGCTTGTGCAATTAGAGAAGATCCATGTTCCATCCCGAACGCATCCAGGGCCCAGGAGGGCCCGGCCTTCGGCGCACCGTGGGCTCCTTCCCCGCGCGCCCGCCCCCACTCTCTAGGCCACGGCGGGGCTCGGGGTGGGGGACTTCCCGGGCGGGGGCTGGACAGGAGGCATCGGTTGCGGGATGCGTCCACGTCCAGCTGTCCAGAAGCCCCGCACCGGAGGCCGGCGGCAGAGGGGCCCCCGGGGCTGGCCGGGCCCTGCGGGCGCAGCGCCCCGACTCGGCAGGGAGGCTCCGGTGCCTCCACGCCCCAGGCCCGCGCGCGGCGGGCGGCGACGACGGCCGCGGGGGGGTGGCCCGGTCGCTTCTCGGGGTCGGGCTGGAGTTCCCCGGCGGGCCACTGGGGCAGGCGTGTCGCGGCGCTCTCGGACTGCGGGACCCGCCTTCGCTTTCCGCCGCGAGGCCCGCGGCCTCTGGGCGGAGGTCACGGAGGGCCAGGCGCCCTGCAGAGGCCCCGGGGGCGACGCCGCCCGGGACACGCTTTTAAGCGCTTTCGGTGCTTTTCACACTTTCCCACCGCCAGAACAGCCGTGGGGTTCCGAAGGGGCTCAGGGTGCGGCGTGGGGTAGCCTTTGTGGCCTCGCTGTTTGCTGGGGCTTTTTCCTCCGAGGAGAGCTTCCCCCACCCCTTTCCTCTCCAAAGTCTTGTGGTTTCCCTAGAAGACGGAAAGAGGTCGAGAAGGTGCTGGAGACTTCTCTTTAGCTATCCTTCCCGACCCGAAACTCTAATAACTCGAGGCGTTTGGCCGCAGGGAGATATGTGGGGTCAGGGGGAGGGAGCGAGCGGTGCATTCCTTCGCCCGCCTCCCTCCCACCTGGTCCTTGGGCTCCCCTCCCCCGCCCTGGCTCGGGCCGGACGCCCGGGCGCGCGCAGCCGCCCCGGGAGCGGCAGGGTTAAGCCCTGGAATGTGGCGGCGAGGAATGTGCATGCAGATGAGCCCGGCGAGGGGAGGGGCGGCGGGGCGGGCCCGGGGCGGGGCGCATGCTAATCGCATGCAAATGAGGAGGCCCGTGGCCGCCGCGGCCGCCGCTCCGCCGCGTTTCCCGTATCCGAGCCCAGACGGCGGCGGCTCGGGCAGCCTGGGCGCCGCGACCCTCGGCGGCCACAGGGGGCCGGGGAGGAGGAGGAAGAGGCGGAGGCAGCGGCGGCGGCCGCGAGGAGGAGGAGGAGGCTTCGCTCGCTCGCTCCGACGCAGACATGGTGGACTGATCCCCGGCGGGGCCGAG